ATTCTGATCATGTAACATCAGTCTCATGAACGCTACTATGATGCTGCTTACAAAAAACACAAAGGTTTAGACACATTCTCATTCTTCATTCCGACTGTTTTCCACATGTTGAATATAACCCTCAAATAAGACAAATGAAAACTCTAATATTTGAGATTCTTCTTTGTCTAGATTCTGGAAGCTTCCTCCAAAAAAAGCATATGTTTTACATGCAATTTATCATTTATATTTGTCAACAAAAGTCTATTTAAGCTTTCAGATCATGAGACCATAAGAAAGATTAATTGTGTCAAATGTGTGACTGGTCGTGCGTATAATTTTTGGGCCGTCTGTGTAAAGTCGTTATGTTTGATGTGGTTTTATGAATGCTGCTGTGTCTTACCGGGTCTCTTGAGTGGAGGCAGCGTCGGATGGAGGTCTCGGTTACAGAAATCCTGATCCATGCAGCATTCCAGGATCCTCCTCAGACGAGCGTTCCCAGTGTCCTGATGGGAAGAGAGCAGGTGTTCATATCAGACAGACAGACAATTACAGACAGACAGACAGACAATTATAAACAGACAGATACAGACAGACCCACACAGACAATTACAGAGAGAGACACACACACAGACAGACAAACACAGACAGTCAGACACAGACAATTACAGACAGACAGATACAGACACACACACACACACACACACACAGACAGATACAGACAGACACACACACAAGACAGACAGACACACAAACAGACAGATACAGACAGACAATTACACACACACACACACACACACACAGACAAGACAGATAATTACAGACAGACAGATACAGACAGACAATTACACACACACACAGACAAGACAGATAATTACAGACAGAGACACACAATTACAGACAGACGCACACAGACAAACAGACAATTACAGACAGATACAGACAGACAATTACACACACAGACAAGACAGACAATTACAGACAGACAGACAGATACAGACAGACAGAGACACACAGACAAGACAGACAGACACACACAGACAAGACAGACAGACAAATTAAATACATGTTTATAATAACTATTTATAAAATATATAAAATAATAATAATGATGATAAGTTTAATAAATACTTTCTAGATATATTAAGCAACAACAACAGTAATAATATGCATATTGTTTACATTCAGTTGTAAATCATTCTGTACTGTTTTTTTATGCATTTCCAGTGCACGTTAATGTAATCATGTAAGCATGTTTGAGGCCGAGTGATTTTACCATAGTAATGGAGTGTGAGTGTGTGTGTGTGTGTGTTTGTGCGTGCGAGAGTGTGTGTGTGTGTGTGTGTGTAAGAGTCGCTGCCGCTGCTCTCCTTCCCGCCGTCCGCCGTCACCTTCCCAGAATTCCTCTGTAACATGCTTTCCAGCACGTTCGCTACAGGAACACAGATTCACGTTAAAATACTACCAAATACAAGCATCCTAATGGAGACAAATCAGCCAGAACCTGGGATTATGGGTAGTGTAGTTCTTCTCCAGAAATTAAACACACAGTATTTTCATAACAAAGCTGAAATGGTTTTTACAGAAGCAGATCTCATCAGTCAGCAGCCGCAGAGCTCGTAATACGTTTGTCCTGAAGTTTATAGTTTGTCGCTAATGATCAGTTTCACTTGAATGTGCTAAACGGCTTAACAGACTCAAATACACATGAGCGTTGTGTGAAGATCCGTGTGTTTGTGTTAATGTCAGTGAGTCACTCTGTGTGTGTGTGTGTGTGTGTGTGTGTGTGTGTGTGTAGAACAGTCTGTACCGCTCTGATATCACAGCTGCCAAGAAGATAAAGCCGCAGATGCTCTCGGCCTCGACAGGATTATCAGAAATACCCACGAGTCTCTGAGACAGACTCCTGTCGCCGGGACGATCGTGAGCACAGGCGCTTTGAAGATTCATCAGAGTCACGATCAGATTCACATTTAACTACAGACCGGCAAATGATGCTCTGCACACAATCCTCAAGACGACACTCAGGAAACTGACCCTTTATATGAATAATATAGACTGTGCATCAAATCTCGACTGCATGAGTTTTTATTTTTGCCACTAAATTATTGAACAGCTCTTTATAAGCATTTCCAACTTTAACAGTACATTCATGTGACGATATACAGCAAATCTCAACTGCTTGACTGTTTATATCACCACAGAAAGGAAACAACAGCAGATGCGACTGAAGAAAATATGATTTCAGTATTAAAAGAAATCACAGGTGAATACTAGTTTATGTTTACAGAGACCTAGTATTTCTGTATTTCTCTTTCTTTCTTTCATCATGTCGCTCCATCAGTTCATTCTTCAAGATTAAAGTCTCATTTTCTGGTCAGTAGGTGCTTTCCTCTCATAAACGCATTTGCCATCTCAAACGAACGATAATAACACAAAGATAAAAACTGTCTGACCCTGATGATGAGTCGAGATGTTCAAAAGAATCTGAAAACAATGACGCTGATAAACGTTTCAAGAC